TCATTTCTTCCGTTCTCTTATCCATGGCACTTTCAGTTGCCCAAAAATTTTACCTCACGAAAGTTTCACAAAATTTCGTTTAAAATTTATCTTAATTAAACGCCTGGGTTGATTGAGAACACCGTGACACGCGCAAGCACTGTGAAGTGTGAAGCTTGTAGTAATGAACCACAACGAAAAATGTGCTCCAAGAGGCATCAGTATGGCACAACGTTCATTGGTGAATCGAAATATTATGATATCGACTTAGTATAATGAAGTAAACATACCAGCAGCTAATACGAGCTCATTGAAGAAGAGAAAACGTCACACAGTCATGCGCTTCCGCGATTTTCGCACATGCGCACCACATCGCTGTCACAAGCACACTGGCATGCAGCCGCCTCCCGCCTCCCTCTCTCACGTTCAGCTGATGCCGCCCCTTTCATCTCTTTCGGAGCCCTGCTGATATTGAAAGTTTCTTAGCGCACCAATAAATTAAATTTGGTTCAAGTTTTGCAATTGAATTCTAGCAGATTGACATAAACTTAATCAAAAGAAAATATAGGGATAGTTAAAAATATTGGGATTGGGATGAATATCATCCATACCTAGGGAGATAATTGCTTTTTGGATGCGTTTCTTTATGATGTTTTAGTGAAGAAATGCTGAAAACTAATATCGAATGATAAGTTGATGCCATTTTTTTATTTATAGAACAATGAGGAATTTCAAGCAACGCAACTCAGAGAAGCATTTGATCGCTCACTCAATTACACGAGATTAGTATTTGCGGCCATTTACGACTTCGCCCTCTAAGATGGAATGTAGTATTGAAATAGAGATTAGAAAGTCTGTGTAGAAATTTGGATCATAATTTGGATTTACGTTTTTCAAGATACGATTTCGTGTATGTGGAAATATTGAACTCCTAATTAGCACATGAAGTTTCTTTGGGCGTGTTTGATAGATACGAGGATTCGATACAATATTAATCAATGTTGAGTTTCTCCACATAAACAATGTAAATTTTACAGCACGCTATGACAAAAAGGTTATTGTGGGCATTGAGACAAATTGTGATCAATATAATTCAAGCGCAACAAGAGAACGTACAAAGATATCTCGGACTAAATGCTCACCGAAACATCGGAGCAAATAAGTACCTAAACATTCAGAATTTTTGGTAACGAAAATGAAGAAACGCGATGAAGAAGTACAAAGTCTATGACTGCGTGGTCGTGAGTCTAGAAACTTTCTGGTTACTGAATGGACTCAGGATTCAGCTCCAGACTACACCTCCGATAATCCTATCAAGTGATAGAATTATTTCTTTACGAGAGACCTCAGCTAAAGTATCAATAAATATCACGATGTTATGAGAAATTAATAAATTACTGACAACAATTACTATTCAGGAACTTAAATGTATCAAATATGTGAATTTATAATGACAATTTTTAAGTACATCCGTTTAAACTTCAAAAGGTGCAGTAGAGTTCCTTGCTTTTCTCGCCTCAAATGGAGATGCCATGTAGTCCAGGAGCTCGGGCGCTCAGCATGCGGCGTAGTGCCGCGAGCAACGGTCATAAATGACGCTTGCGTGGCGCCTGCACTGAACGCTATATAATCTTCGGTTATACGCCGAGATCATCACAACCTAAACTCCCCTCACAAAATTATACAACAAGAATGCGTACAGCTTCAACTATAAATCACACAAACACCGGTAATTTTTCTGAATTTTAATAGTTGACGAAACAATCCACATCGGCACAACAAATGTAATAATTACCGCATTAATCAATTGAGGAAAGTCATAAATTGCTTTGACTGATAAATTTTACGTACGATATAGATTACGGTATATATTTGCCTTGCCTGCATTGATCTTAGTGTGAAACAGCTCGTAAATTTTAATTGAAACCTTACATTTAGGTGACAGTAGTTTATTTGAAAATTGTTTTGTTTGGTTAACAGTACATAATTACTTCATTTACCTGTAGTTGCCCTTGACTGATGTCGCTATCTCTAAGTTAAACCAAGCGAAGCTAAAAATGGAACAGATTTTTAGCATGATGAGCTTGTATAGACAACGTATAAAAGACGAAAAAATGTGCCAGTGAAGCATCGAAATGAAAACTTCAAAACTAAAGAAAACTAGTGTTTAGAGATTTAGACAAACCATCGTCGGTGAGGAGAGGAAGCTAGTACGACTTAATGTTTTTTCGTTTACTTGGATCAGTAAAAGAGAAGCACCGTAGTTACGGCATCGGCAAGGGTGTGGCTGCTTCAAAGTAATGAAGTTGAAAGGACCCGACGAGATAGCCACGAAAGATGGGCGCTTGAGGTCGGGTGTGGTGCCGACCTCGATGCCTTTACTCAGCTCTTATTAGGTGTTAGTCGACCAGCTCATCATGAAGCCAAAGCTCGGATCTAAAGTATTAAGAAGATTCCCCGAGAAAACAATCAGTTAGACGATAGCAGTTCCTTGGCTACTAGAAAGCTATCACTGGCTGTGGCTGATATACATATCACTGGTCGAAGGGAGCGGGTTTCTGAACTTCGCATGTTATGTCAGGAGTGGAAAGTTAACTGAAATCCCCTAACTCGTATATGCTTGCGTTAAAACTGGGTAAGTAATTGTTAACGGTAAGACTAACTCCAAAAAGTTGAGGGGCTAACAATCTTAAATTTAGTTCAAAAACGAATGAAAGAATAGAACAGGCAAAAAATTGTGAAAAGGGAAGCTAGTTTACAAAGAGAGCTGAGGTACAGACGTTAAATATTCCCGAAAACATGCATAGATAGACGCATTCATGCCAGAAAAAAAACGCGTGAATGACAAAAAATTCGTCTGTAAAAGTATTTACATGCAGTTGCAGAGCTTGCGATTACATGTATTTGATTGCACGTGAATAACATTAGATGTAGTATGGAATAATTATACAATCAAATTAAATTGTACAAAACAGGACTGAGTTCACCATACAAAATTCATTTATAAGATATCCTGCTTTTTAAAATTATAAGGAACACCGCACAACCAAGATGAAGTCAGCTCGGTAGCGCGGTCACCCGATGTCAGCGGCAAGCATCATATATACTCGTGGGGCGTGCAAAATCATCGGAAGAGCGGATGCCAGCGAAGTCTGGGACGAAGCTTCGTAACCCTGGCGACCCATACAATCAGGCTTTAGAGCCCATTCATGTCAAGCTCCCATGGGAATTCTCAAGAAATGGCCTGCTTCAATTATGCGCCCGATAAAGCATGCAGAAACAAACCTCCTGGCGGCTTACGGACTTCCTTGATATGAATATGAACAAGAGAGAGGTTAGTAACATGAACTTGAGAGAGATTTGTTACATGAACTTGAGAGATATTAATTACATGAACGAGAGAGAGATTAGTCACATGAAATAGAGAAAGATTATGAATATGAACAAGAGGGAGATTAGGAGACGCATGATTTGGTGCCAAAGCAGGGGCAATCAGAGTACGTAGAATCGAACACAAAGGTTTTTAGCATTCTGTTCCGACAAGAGCAAAATTTATCAAATTATTTTTAAGAGTTCAAACGCTATTAAATATGCTTCATTTATCTCTATTTTTTGAAGTAAGATATTAAAAAACTCAAGAATATTCGTGAATATTGAAGAAATAGATCGCTGTAATAACAGTTCCTCCATACATTCTAATGTGACTTCCGTTGCTATTTAGTGATGAATTCATACCAATTCAATAAAGCGATGCTTCAATGGGAGAGTTTGTCGACATTATGCCTATTGCCTACGTCTCTTTGAAGTGTCTTTTATCGGTTTCAGATAAAACTTGTTTCGACAAAAAACATAGAAGTGGAAATTATCGAATTAAATCGCAAACTTAGAAAAATAGTAAGTTTGACGCACGAGCCAAAATATGCCCATTTTAACATTAACATTTGAACACTTAATCATTATTAGAATCAGAAATTAATTTTCAAAATATTTGGCGAATAATTAAACATATTCGAGGCGCTCCGAGAACTGTACGACAGTCGCCGAACAACTTCAAAAATGAGTTTGTGCATTGAGCCCACTTACCTTGACTTCCCGTGTCTATTGATTAGGATTACTGTAATGTAGATTAGAGAGAGCCATTGTGCATTTCTCCAGGTATTAGTCTTTCAATTTCATTTTAACTTGAAAAATTTTCTTGCTATTTCACTTTGCCACTCGGTCAAGTTCCAGAAATATATTTATGGATACTGAAAATCTTTCTGGCATATCTGAATGTGGTCGGGAGTACTGGAAATCTCGTGGTCGAGGCGGCTGAAGTACATAACTAAATCTAAGAATGAAGTACATGACTTCAGCGACGGCTGAAGTAATGGCTTATTTGCATATCCAAAGGACATGGAAATAAGCCTTAAAGTTACGCTACAGTGAGCAATGATGTGAAAGTATCTAGACTTTCAAGACAAACAAGGAAAACATGCAGGAAAGTGAACTACGCTGAGGCGTCATGTGCCTCGTCAATATGCCGCGGTTATGGTGGCTGTTTCACGATATCGAAAATTGCAGTCGAAGTTGCATTCTCAAGCTCTCAAACTACAGCTAAAAATTACTGATGATTTCACTGAAACCAGTTTCGTAACAAGTCCGCCCGCTTTTTACCTAAGTATAAACAAGGTTAGGCACCCGAAAGTTCCAGACCTTATTTACAAACAAAATGAAAGGAAAATTAAGCACACATGCCCACAACTGACCTAATTAGATATACTTTTAGTTACGCAAAAGTTGAGTTGACGTGACTGTCATCTAATAGGAGTGGATACGCCATCCTAAAGCATTTGACTTCTCTAGGTCCTCAAGTGCTTCAGGTCTGCCTTAAACATAATTTTAGGGCCGTAAGTGATAGCCTCAATATTTTGCAAGGGCGGCAACTGGAAGGCGGAGCTTAGTTCCGGTCAGCTGATCCGGTCCAACCCAGCCGTTGCAATTGCCTGTGACATCTCAGAGAACAATGGAACAATTCTTACCTCCCAAGTTTCGTGTGCGATGTACAATAAAGGTGGAACATTCATAATTATTACTAAGGTGAAAGCAGGAGCCCTACAAACACTGGTCATCACTTCATAAATGTTCTTCTCAGCGAAGACAAGCTCGCGCGCACGGCTTCCAGCTACAGACTGGCATCTCATGGCACTCCCGGGCGCAGCCCGAGGCACTGCTAGCAACCCAAAATCCACGCGCCTTGAAACTGAAAAATTAAATAAGGCAGAGTTTTTTCTCAAAATTTTCAACTTTCGGGAACTCTGACCTCATACAATATAAATTACATGCATTTCAATGTAATACATGTAAGAATCCCTCAAGAATTTAATGAGGGATATTGGTAAAGTAATTTCAAAAAAGCTTAAACCAATAAATTGGATGAGTTAAATATATGTTTTTTTTTTTGCTGAAAAGATGATTTTTTATATGCTTTTTCGCCTTACGAAAGATATTTTTAGTGCTAAAAGCCATATTTGATGTGAAAAAATTCAAGGAAACGTGTCTTTTTAGAGTTATCATGAAAGTCAAACATAGAATTTTCGAAAATAGCGCGAAATTAATATAAAAAAATCAGTTGGTAGTGAACTCATAGAGTAACATCAAAATTTGTGACACGAAAATTTGAGGCGATAGAAGCGAGCAAATATGATGGAGCTGTTGCGATTATTTTACTTATACACATGCATATCTTCTTGAGATCACCTTGATGGAAGAGTATTCAGGCTTGATATGCATTAAAATTGATCGTAACATCTTTGCCTTGATAGTGGCAACTGTGCAAAATGTCAGTGGAAGTTTGACCTTTATTAATAAACCGAAATAGAAATTTTACAGAGATTTCTCATGGACTGTAAGTTTAGTTGAGTATACCCTAAACAAAAATTCTTCTTAGATTACTAACAAAAAACTTTGAAGACAGACTATAACGGTAGAAAGAATGAATAACTCCAACTTTTCGAAATTTTACATATTAATAAATACAATTGTTTCCAATTAAATTCCATGGATTATATGATGTGAATAATGACTTATGAGATCAATTTAAATCTTGCAAAAGATGTAGATTCATCGATTGATTTAATGATTGACTGATATTTAATGACTGATTTTAATTATTGACTGCTATACATTATTAGTACATAGAGAAAAATTTACCCCATTGAGCGTTTATCATTCACCACCAAATAATAATTCATCTGTTAATTTTTCTTATTTCGTTTAAAGGCACTTTGGGATTTGAATAAAATCCGTTCATAATTGACCGAATCGACACTTCAGCGAACTCGCCTGCGAGCTCGAATACAAACCTAACTTCATTTTCAACTCTGGCACTCATAAATCCGTCAATTATGAACGGATTTCATTCAAATTTGAAATATAATAGATAATATCAGTAATTTGCATGGGGAATTTTTTTCAGATTTTTACATCAATAACTTTTTGTTAATACGGAAAACCTAACTTCATTTTCAACTCTGGCACTCATAAATCCGTCAATTATGAACGGATTTTATTCAAATTTGAAATATAAGTAGATAATATCAGTAATTTGCGGGGGGGATTTTTTCAGATTTTTACATCAATAACTTTTTTGTTAATACGGAAAACCTAACTTAATTTTCAACTCTGGCACTCATAAATCCTTCAATAATGATCGGATTTTATTCAAATTTGAAATATAAGTAGATAATATCAGTAATTTGCGGGGGAAATTTTTTCAGATTTTTACATCAATAACTTTTTTGTTAATACGGAAAACCTAACTTCATTTTCAACTCTGGCACTCATAAATCCGTCAATTATGAACGGATTTTATTCAAATTAGAAATATAAGTAGATAATATCAGTAATTTGCGGGCGGACTTTTTTCACATTTTTACATCAATAACTTTTTTGTTAATACGGAAAACGATAGGTTGCAGCACCACGCAGTCATAAATCCTTCAATGCCGAACTGATTGCCTTGAAATTTGGAATGTAAGTGCTTGTTATAACTTCGCTAGCTAACGAATCGTCAAAATGGAAGGAAAATCCAATATATACAATTAAGTCGATAATACGTGAACAATAACCCAATAATTTATAAGAGACGCATGGTGTTGACACATTCGGTACGTTATAATTGTAACTAATGTGTTTCTGTCACTTTCTGCTAGTTCCGACAACAAATTTTTCCTTATCAATTATGAAATTAAGATATATTAACGCATCTTCTCACTGGTGTAACTTTGGTACCGTTCAAATATAAGAACAGTTAAGCAAAAAAAGAATCTCCATGACGTTGGCTGAGTCTGATTTGGAAGCATAAATAATTTGGCTGCTCGCTAAATTATTTTTAGGCTTTTGGTTCCTATTCTCACGAGTCCTTAAACTGTCATCAGGACAAATTTTGAACTAAATGATGATCTCGATGCGTATTGAATATTATATGAAGTAAAATTCGACTACTACGGAGTACTGTATTCATTTTTTTGCGAAAACTTTTCAATTAAGTTGCCTATAATATAAATGTTAGTGGTGTGAGGCTTGCGGTGTGACATTATTATCACGGTTCGGCGTCCGACTTTTGATTCGTCAATCTAAAATCAGGCTCTATTATGGGCCAAAATTTCATCTTCGTAGCAGGGCTGGAAGTACGAAAGTGGGTCTAAAAGTGTCGATTTCGCGTAGGTACCAATACGGCGAGGACAAGGACGTAAAGTCAAAATCAAAATCTGAATGCGGATCTGAATCTAAGTGTTTCTTCGAAATTCTTTCGAGGTCCCTGCGCCATTAACAAGCCTCTTAATATAGTTGTTTGCAGTGGACTTCAACCATTCATCCAGTGAGAAGAGGCAGGGGTGGAGGTGTGCATCAAATACCGAGATCAAAAGCGTCTTCAAGAGATTCTCATTAGGCGTTTGCCTGCACTTGTTTGCAGTTCCGTGGGTGGTTGCGGTTGAGTAATGACTAACTTTTAATATAGAGATATGAATAAAATAGAGAGAATCATTATCTACAACGTGTAAATCAGGTCGAGAGTTTCATGAAGCACTATAAAAATGTCTCTTTTTAGTAACAATAATCATCAGCGGTCTACCAAATGTTCCACTTCGTCCACTGCTTTTATTGGAAAACAAGTAAAGATAGCCTCAGAGCACAACATGGATACTTAGTGAATATCAATGATCGCTTGCTTAATATTGGTTTATTATGAGCATGGGAAATGCAGGCATTAACTTCGAATATTGTTACAAATATAATGGGCAAAAACGGATGAATTTCTTTGTGATAGAAATTACAATGCACTATCGTTAAAAATGTTAATTATAGTACAAGGACGAATAAATTCTTTCACATGCAGAGGATAAGAAAGATCTGATCAATAAATCGTTTATTGAGTGAAGCAAGTATTTACACAGCATTAAAGTTCAAGGGTGCACTGTTGATGATACAAGAATGATACTGTTGACAATATAAGGCAGAACAATGTACATTAATTTAAGTGGCATGCTTCTCTAATTTAGCAAATGCCTCGGCTATCGACAAGATAGAAAAAGCATGAGTAATAAATGTGGCTAAGCAGAAGTCACAAGCATTGATCTAACGTTTTAAAATTAATGAAGCTCAATCTTAATCCTTTGGAAGTCTAATTTAAACAATGCTTTAAAATGCAAAACATCTATATTAATATGTTCAGTGAACTTAAATAATAAATTGATATTGTAATAAAGTTTATATTTATCAAAATAAATGAACAAATAATTAAATATATAATTTCCATAGCAATGGACTTCACTTCCTACTTTCGAATAAATTTTGGAAATATCAGAAGTTAGTAGGTGTTCAAGCCGGGTGTGCGCAGAGTTCAGTTAAAAGTCAATAAATTAGTCTCGTTGGGAGTGTGGGGTGGTAGGAATGGCATAGTTTCTTCAGACATATGAAGGATTGAATAGATGGACGAGTCTATTCCAAGTAGTCATGCGTTTTCTATGGATTGACTGAAGATGCTCCTCCAGCTGTGTGCAGATAATGTATATGCATTGGCTGCACCAAAGTAGGATGGATGCCATGTTTAAAGAGCGTTTGTGGATTTTATTGTGACCACGAAGGGGCTGATTGTCACATGTGGCCTTCAGGAGGGCCGACTAACAAACTTTTGTAAAAATTCCTCCGAAGAAAAATTTTTTTGCTTGACCAAACCTAAATCTTGTGGTGATACCAACGAACTAAGAAGTCCATAACTGAATACTCCAAGGCACACTACAAAGCGAGCCATTTTGTCATTTTTCATGCAGCTGCGCTTGATGGTCGAGCGCATGCAAACAGGCTCACGGAGCCAACAAAGAGGAGGGGCGGCCACGTCACACACTGCCCAACACGAGGTACTGGAATATTAGCGCCAACACAAACCAATGCATTGCCTGTACGTTCCATGGTCCTCTACGTAGCAAGCTCCTGTCAGCATGTTTCCTGCAAATAAAAAGAAATCATTACAAATACATACTGAGGAAATCCTTACTGAAATCTCTTAAAATAAAATTTGAGGGCTCAGTAGGTACCTAATAAAGAGTAAATAAATGTAATTACTTTTAAATCGTGACAGACTTGTAACTTGTAAGAATTAATTGTTACAAGAAAAGGATTTCAATACTATTTATCTGTTCGTTCGAGACTCAAAAAACTTATACAAATAATTGCAGCCCGCAAATATAAGAAAATAAGTCAGCTAAGAAGCAGGTCACTCTCATGGAAATTATAAAATCTTAAAAATACCCTCCACTGATAACACACATCCATTGAGCAAAGAAAAATTTAATGGAGCTTCGAAATATCAGACAGCAAGTTTTTCTTTTCATGCTGATGTTTCCCAACGATACGCCAATAAATTCTGTAATCATAAGACTGATTAATAAGTTGAATTGTCGCAATAACAATTAGTGTTAAATCATTGGAACCTCACAAGCGTAACATTTTTATAAAAGGCAACTTTACAAGATTTTAAATGATCCCACATCTTAAACATTTCACAAACGAGACAAACTTGCTAAGATTTCAGTGATGAAAAACTTAACTAAAATAATTTCATGATGTTTAACCAAATATTATGATGTGAAAAAGTTTCGTCAATGCTTAGACAAGATTGATTTGTCCTACTTTTTATTATGTATACTTGTAATGTAAAAAATGCAGCTCTATAGCTGGAAATATGAAAATTAATTTCTCAGTTCAATGTTACTACCCATGGCTATAAAAATGAATTTGGCTAATGGAACAATATTTAGTTGTGATGCAGGCTAAAGTGATCCGTTAAATTGTGAAAAAGCTATATATAGTCAGATGGGGTAAGACAGGACCGAAATCACTAACAAGCCGGTAGCATCTATACCATGAATAACTAAAAAACCCTTAACCTATCACAAGGTGCATTTATGCAATGGGCTTCTAAGCTACAACTCAGACGTTTTGCATCTAACATAGTTTTCTGTACAGTTTAAAAAAAGTGAGCTGGTCCCATCTTACCCCATTGGGGTAAGATGGGACCAGGCTGGGGTAAGACAGGACCAACTGGTAATTCTTATGTTACAAGGTTTCTAATAAAAGCACAATTCTGATATTCAATATTATCCATCTAGAAACACATTATTTGATTAAACAACCACTTGTTACTGTTTTGTGTTGTGGGAAGTCAACTTTAATATCAGTCACATTGGAGGTTTTGTCACGAGAAAACTTTGTTGACATTAAATGTAGCCATATAATCCATTTAGTCTTTTGAGCAAAAAATATGTATGATATTATATAGCTGGCATAGTTAATTATCATTTTATACTTTACTTTTGCTAGCAATAATAATAAGTCCAAGAAACTTGCAAGAAACTCCAGTATTTTAGCAATAATGCCTTATTCGAGATTGAAATTTTCAAAGAAATTTGGTGAGAGTGAGCAAAAGATAAAAATTGTCTACCAAAATACTCCAGTTACTGCATAATAATATATTCATTTAAAAGCTATTTTTGATATACTGTAGGGTAATAGAGGACCATTTGTGGGGTAAGACGGGACCATATGTGGTGTAAGATAGGACCATTTGTGGGGTAAAACAGGATCATTTAGTGGTCCCATTTTACCCCATGTCCGGTCCTTTTTTACCCCATTTCAGAATACATGTCAGGCAGTGATGGTAGCAGGTAGGAATGCCAAGTATGTCTCAAAAGTTGCTTATTACTTGAGGTTACCTGCCTACATCCACAAACCTGGCCAAAAAAATTTTTGTCATTAGACAAAGCCTATTTCCTAAACAGGGTTAACTATTTTATGACCCTTCTTCACATAGGTTTTCTTTAAAAATTAGCCAGAAATTCAATATTTGCAGAAGAGGGTTGAAACAAACACTAAAATGACAGGCAATAATTGCTCTAACATATTCTTTTGTCAAATTAAATTTAGTGCAATTAGAATGCACACCATGGGCTGGTCCTTTCTTACCCCATGAAGGCTGCGATCCTGTCTTACCCCATTTGACTATAGTAAACCTGATTGCATTACAATCATCATACATCACTTGACTGTCTTGACTTGACATAATTAGTATATAATACTTTTTGGTACTTGCCTAATACTGCTTAATATTAGTTATTGAAGCAATATAATTGTAATTTTTGCAATTATTAATAGAGAAGTATCCTAATTCTTATGTTCATATCATTGCATGTAAATTTTAAAAAGATTAAATAGACATGAATAGTTAAGATTAAATACTTGGATATGCCAAAAGAATTACAGTTATGTTAATTTTGTTGATCACAAAAGAAGGAAATTTTTTCCATAGCAAAATCGTAAAATTCTTGACAGGAAATCACAGGTACATTCATGAAAGGAGATATTGGGATTGGGGGTCTTGCTTTCAAAATTTTATGAGAAACAGTGCTTATCTGAACATGTTTTCACTAATGAGTGGAATCAACAGTGGTCAGAATGCTTACCGGTATGTCAGTACAAGATTTGAAATCACAGTAAAAAGTAAACTTACAGAGATAAACCGGAAGGCAGGCTGAATTATGAATGGTTCTTCAAGTCCAAGATAAGCCACAAGTCGGTTGGTGGTAGACATGGCCAACGACACTTGGCCTTGAAGGTGGATAGGCTTGAGAATGATTCCCTTACACTAAGGAAGCCTTGCGAGTTGAAAAAGCACATGTCCAGGAAGCACAAAAACGCTGTAGGAACTGAGAGCAGCGAGTAGGCAACAGCCAGCGTTTGGTTATTTTTGGACGGAATATATTTTTTTTTCTTTGTACTCTCAGACTAGAGTATTTTTCCTGATGCTGCTTTCTTCCTTTGTTTCTCATATAGTTACTATGTTTGTTAACTTTATCAACCAAGAGCGCACTTTGGTGCTATAGGTACGATTGCCTGACTATTGGCATTGCAAGCTGCTTATCTAATAATAGATACCGCAGTGTCTAATATCGGTTAATATTGTACTAACGTATTGCTCAATAAATGCAAAGTGCTGCTTCTCAGAGTATTGGGGACCAATACAAATTATTTATTTTCGTTCACAAGGAAATATAATTTCTTGTATTTAGTGATGAGTACGCCATTACTGGTGCTGGTGACTGGTGAGCGTGCGGCCGAGACCAGCGGTCTCGATAACTGCCTAAATTACGCCCTCACGGCTTGCTTTGCAGACCCATCCGCGCTTAATAAACATTGTAATTACATTCTAAATACAACTTGTATGCAAAATTTCAATTTCATCACTGGTACGGAAATTAATGTCGGAACTAGCAGAAAGTTACCTTACCTTAGTTAAGATGAGGCGAGTCACCGTCTTGAGTATTGGCACCCCCAATCCGCATTCTTCAGGGTGCATTAGATGTTGCTGAGCATGTTGGTGGCTTGGAGGTACTTGATGATCAGTTCAGCAGGGAATGCAGGTGTCGTAAGCGAAGACAGGAAGAAAGGGACAAAGAGGCAAGCACATGCAGATTTCAGCTGGTCTGGTCACGTTCAGGATTGGAATTTTTCTATTTGTTTCTGAAATCTCGCGGCTTCAACATGACGAATTTTCAATACATTTGGAATCTCGCGGCTCGATTGTGCAATTTTGTTAACATTTGGATAGGGTTAATTCATCGGACGGAAATCTCGCGGTTTCAGAAATGGCGGGAAACCTCTAGTTGCGGCCCTAAAGGCAGATGTTTTCCATGCTTGGTCACGTTGAGGAGTCAGTACTGGCACTACTGGGCAACTGATGAAGAGGTGTTCAAGGGTGAGACGGCTCTGACATGTTGAGCACTGGGGTGGGGGAATCTTGAGAAGTGGTGGCCATGAGTTAATGTTAATAGGCACACTCCTAGCCAAAGCCGTGTGATTGTGACTTGACGAGGCCAAGGGAGAGATTGCTGAGCTAGTGGGCCTAGTGTTGGCTTGAAGGAAGTCAGTTCTCGTGGTTGTTTGGTCCATGCTCTCTGCCATATGCTGCGAAATGAGTGTGTGATGAGTCTTCTCAAGTCAGCAGACTGAGCAGAGCTGTAGGGCACCTGGGTCAGCTGGGTGATTTGGGCAAGCTCCAGTGAGGCACGGCCGCACGGGCAAGTCTGTCAGCAGCTTCGTTGCCTTTTATTCCTACATTTCCAGGGACCCATTCCAAGGTAAATTTGTTTAGTATTGTAGCCATAAGCACATTTTGTATCCCAGGTACCAAGTGATGTCTGGAAGGGTGGGCTGATTGAAGCTTTTGAAGGCAGCCTTAGGCAGGTGATGCTAGCAAGGTAGTCAGTAAATATTACAAATTTGCCTGTTTTTTCTGTAGCAAATTTTATTGCAAAATATATTGCATACAGTTCTGCTGAGAACACTGAAGTGGAAGTTTTAGTCGGGCTTTGATTTTGAATAAGGAGCTATAGATTCCACATCCTGATTTTCAGTCACTTACAGAGCCGTCTGTGTAGACTTGGTGCCGTGCGTTGGTGGGGGCAGAAAGTGACAGAAACACATTAGTTACAATTATAACGTACCGAATGTGACAACACCATGCGTCTCTTATAAATTATTGGGTTATTGTTCACGTATTATCGACTTAATTGTATATATTG